CGCTATTGTCCTTCTCATTATCTTTAAAACCCAAACTTTCTCTTTGTTTCATCAACTTCAAATACTACTGTCTAGAGACTTGTTTTAACCCATAAATGGATTTCTACAGGCGACATCTCATACGTTCTTTTGCTTCCACGATAAAACTTTTGGGTTGTGCCATGTAGATGTTTTCATACAAATCCCCGTTGAGGAATGTCTGTCTTTATATCTATCTGATATAACTCTAAATCGTAATATACCAATAAGACTATTATGATTCTAAAGAATCCTTACACGAGACTAGAGAGAAAACTCTCATCGTAATCTATTCATTCTCTTTGTGTAAAGCCTTTTGCTACAATTCATGCTTTATATCTTTGCACATTCCCTTTGGAGTCATATTTTGTCTTGTAGACCCATTCACAGCCTACTGTTTTGGCTCATTTAGGATTTTCTTTTAAGTCCCAAACATCGTTGGTATTCATCGAATTTATTTCAACTTCCATAGCTTTTTGCCATTTAGACGAGTAAATGCTTCTCATAGCTTCTTTAAATGAGGTGGGATCACCCTCCATTTGAATTTTATCACTAACATAGACTTCATAATCGTTAGAAAACTGGTTTACTAATTCTTTGAGACCTTCTGGGGCCTCAACTATTAGCACTTTCATATGGGGCTATTGTTGCTATTCATTGCCAAGAGACAATTGATTCTACAGGCTCCTATATTACAAGATTCTTGTTTACATTATTCATCTTCTTTGAAGAGACAACAACAAGTGTTGTATAAGTCATACAACATCAACAGATATCGAAAAATTCGTTGTTTTGAATCGCTAAAGTGGGCACGCAGTCCCGCTTCTCTTCAAGTCATAGGTCTCTACATACCGTGCTCCCCTAGATCGTCCTATCTTTTATAAAGATTATGTATCTTCCAATTTCTTATTTGGGTTCAATCTGTTAAAACCTTATTTGGTGCTTTAAGCACCATTTTAATATCTTTGATGGTGACTACGCTACCTTTCTCTCGGAACTTTTAAAAAAATCAGGAATTTAGCTATTTCTCTGCTTAGTGGTATCGTTATTGTGACCGTTGTACTCCTCCGACGGTCACATTCATCTTAATTAATCTTTATGTCACTCTTAATGAAGAGTATCTTTCTTAATTGATCTTACTATTCCTCCCCATCAAAATATGGCATGAACTTTACTACCATAATTTCAAGAACTATTCAGAAAAATTATGAACGAGAAGCCACTTATAACTTACTTCATTCACATGATTACGTCATGCAAACAAAGTTATTTCTTGATTTGTATAGGAGTACACTTTCTTCATTCTACTTCAAGAACTCATCGAGGTCTTTTATTAGCAGTACTTTTGCAAGTCATACTTGCATCTTTTTCTTATCCTTTGGTTAGTATTGACCATGAAGGTGCATCTCTATTGTGCCATAATCAATACTAGGATAGCATAAGAGCTACCCAAACTTCTCTTGCTTTGCGGGATACAATAACATATGAGTCATCACAAAAACTTCTCCCGCCGTGCAGGATGGACTAGCATAAGTACTATGCCAAACTTCTCACCATGCGGGATAAATCTATATACAAACACGCATGCTTAATCCAACGTCGGTCAAATTAAACATGCATGTTACTTATTGCAACTCTTATCATAAAACATCCACTTATACTTTATTTTCTAATTAAATCTTTCCATTAGTTCCAATTTAATCAGAAAATTAGTAAATTAACAACTCAAAAATAGTCCTGAACTGGCTTGACTCAAGCCTTTTCATTCACATAACCCAGCATTGCAGCCGAGTGATCTCGGTTAAAATTAAAACACACAAGGTACTTCTGCATCAATTATACATCACCGTTGGGCAGAAAATAGAATTAATGCATAAAACTCATAAATTAACTTGAAAGACATATAACTACTCATCAAAATTAAATTCTCCTGTTGGTTCGAATTTAATTAGAAGATAATCAACTTCATTGCAGCGGAAACACAATAATAAAATACACTCTATTAGTTCAGGAGCATTTCTTGGTTTTTGTCTACTCTCCAAAAAATTGACCATGTTGGTGTAAAATTTATCAGAGATTTAAACTTCAACTTTAAACTCATTATAATATTGTTATCATCAACGTTGGTCAGAAAATAACAATACCATAATTTAACATAAACAAATAGAACTACTCTAATTTAAAATTTTCCGTTGGTTCCAATTTAATTAGAGGATAAACATAATCATAATTTACTGAATAAATATAACTGCTCTTCAAATTAAATTCTCCCGTTGGTTCGAATTTAATTAGAAGATAATAAACATTAAACTTTGCAGCGGAAACATGAAAACATTCTTTATCTACTTTTTAGAAACATTTTACTGTACTCATCTACTCTCCGAAAAATTATCCCGTTGGTTCAACTTTTGACAGAGATTTAAACTAGACAAAAATCATCAAAAAATTTGCTTCTAAAAATATAAAACCAAAGCTTTGCTATAGTTCTGCGCTATCAACGAAAATTGGCCCAATGGCCCATCCGCCAGCCTGCCTGTGCCCGCATGGCCCAGTGTGCTGCCGCCCTCTATCGCGGCCCAGCATCGCAAAGACGGCCCACGGCGGCCGCTCGCACTACGCTCCCCGCGTCCTAGGACGCAACCTGGGCCTGGGTCGAGATTCTTCCAACCCGCCTAGGCCGAAAGTAGCTCGTGCATTCACAGCCGTTCATCGCGATCGACGGCTATCTGCCTAGATCGGAAGAACAAAAACGCCGTCCGCTGCTCCCCCGAACCCTAGAGCTCATTCTCTTCTCCTACCTCTCTCTCTTCACCGCGCTGCTCTCTCTCCCTTCTCTCTGAAAACCATGACGGTCGGAGATGACGGCGCCACCGCCAGTCCCCTCGCCGGTGCGTGCGCCCATCGTAGGGTGAGCGCGCCGCCATCGAGCGGTCTAGCGACGGTGCCCTGAGCACGTGTGCGCGGCTCGGTGGAGGCTCGGGTGATCTTCCCGCGCTACGGCGGTGGGAAAGCGACGCTGCCGCGGGCCCCTCGCCTACGCGCGCTCTCACCGGAGGTTGAGCGTGTCACCGTCGAGCAGGCCCTCGGGCGGTGCCCTTGGCCCGAGCCCGAGGCGGAGACCGCACAGCGGTGAGTCCTCGCGCCCGCGGTGGCTTGAGGTGACTTCCCACGTGGGGTTGAGGCGACATCCGGCGGTGGTGATGTTGTGGGTGGTTCCCAGGTTGGAAAACCCCTTCCTTTCCTTTCTCTTCTTCTAGAGTTAAGGTTAGGGTTAGGGTTTAACTCGACTGGATTCGTTCGTTCCGATTCATCTCCTTCTAAATGCTAAAACTTAGACTACCCCAAAATAGATCCGCACACCAACCACGCTCTGATACCATTGATAGGATTTGAAGGACCTCTAGGTGCAGATCTAGCGGATAAAGACTTAACTTAGATAGAAAACTTGATGATGTACCTCGCCCAGTGAAGTCGCGGCCATGGCGTCGGCGATGAAGTAGCAATAGCTTGACACGCCCGCTAGGGTATCAAAGAAGGCAGGAGTGCAGGGGCAGTCTAGAGGCAGCGGTGAAGGCGGTGGAGCTTCGTCGCTCACAGCGCACCCTCATGATCGGACTAAGGTTAGACATGGTGGGGCGCTGGCGGCTGCGGTGAACCTCGTAACTCAAGCCCCAACCCTCACCTCCTATTAATAGCGCTGCGCGACGGGGCCCATCAGCCAGGAGACCGGCTGGACACCCCAGATCAGGACGTGGATCAAGGGCTCAATTGGCCGTTGGACCAACTTGGTGGAGATCAACCTAACAGCGTGCAGCCAAAAACTCATGATCTTAAGCCAAGTAGCTCACGTGATGGGAGAGGAGGCACGGGGATGGCACCGCGCCATGCCCAGAAGAGGGGGACGCAGAACTACGGGCCGCGTAGGTGCGGAGCTCCAATTGTAGCCTGGGAGGAGACCTGAGGCCGACGACCAGGGGTAGGTAGGTTTGCAGTTCACTGGCAGGTTCGGTGGGGATGACCAGATGGCAAAGTAGACTTGCGCGGCGCGCGTAGCCACGGCGGCTGTTGGAAGTTGGAATCGCGCGATTGCCCGAATTGTTCGACGCCGTCGAACCACCGGCACGTTGCCATTGGTGATTGGTCGCCTGCTTCGATTGCTGATTTGCCGAGTCGTACTCTCCGACGCCGAGGAGCCTGGAGGCCGGGCCTACACTAGCGTCCAGTGCATGAAGAGTGGGGCACGGGGCACTCGGGTCCACCATGTTGGTGACGGTGGGTACGTTGTGTAATTTGAACGAGAGCATATGCAAAACGGGCGGCGGGGGGAGCGGCCATTGTGTTCGCTGAACGGAACGGTTCTGTGGGCCACGGCACGGACTGGAAGGTGGTCCATGCAAGGGACTGGGCCTCACATCCAGCATGGGCTTGAGTTGTGACCTGGGCCGGCCTAGCAGGAGAAGTGGGCCTAGGCAAGGTTCATGCCTCTTGCTACCGGTTCCATGTCAGACTGGCCTCCTTTTTAGATGAGTTTCAGGCAGACCTGATAAAAAACAAACGACCATGAATCTCCTGATTGTTCAAGTTCTTGATATATAAAAAGTTGCAGCAGAGGAAGGAGCAGCCGGAGCAAATGCAACCTCAGAATATGCTGAGCATTTTTACATCGAAACAATCGCGTTAGACGACAACTTCTAGAAGAGTACTCAGTAGTTTCACCTATGCACGTTCCTAGTAGTTTCACTTCGCAGACAGAAGAGTGTACCAAAGGCCATGAATATCCGGTCATCAAGGAAGATACGGTCACCAAGATACCAAAATGATCTCTTTTGACAGAAGTTTTTTAGTGATGCTACAACCTCGCCTTTGTTTGTAACGTCCGAGTCTTCGCAGTGAATTTAATTTCTGGTCCTGGAGAGCAGCATCATAATCCATGCAGCGCACCGCGTGACTGCAAACCTTTCCTGCTCAGAGCAAGCTCCGAAATGGAGAATGACGGGACCGGGAGGGGACAGACGACACCGGAGAGGGCACATCAGCACAGGTTCAGCACGGCGGCGAGCAGATTTGCGTTCAACACCGGCGAGGCCGCGGAGAGGCCGCCTGTCGCAGTCGAGGACAAGATTTTCGTTGCTGTCCCCCAAGAACTCAAGCACGGCAAGAGCAACTTGGTGTGGGCGCTGCAGAACTTGGCCAGGGACGCCTCCAGGTCCCGGATTGTCATTGCTCACGTCCACGTTCCTGCCCAAATGATAACCAGTAAGTATCTGAACTAGGAACGTCGCCCAAAGTAAACGGCGAATTCTCCAGCTTATTTTGAAAGTGCCTTAATTCATCTTGTGCTTCTTTTTCTCACTCGGGCCTTGGCCTCATGTAACTGCCCTGTAAATACTTCCTCCCTACTCTATGAAACGCCAAAACACCTTCAAGTAAAAAAAAAACACCTTCCTACACTAAAGCTTTTTTTTCATGGTTGATAGAACTTTCATAGTCTATTATTATTGCGATACTTCATATATTTCCTGCTTAAACATATTTCATGTTTTTCCAGTGGGGCTAGGGGCAAGTGTTCATTACAGCACAATGAGACCACAAGAACTCCGTGCATACAGACAGCATGAGAGAAAAAAGATGGAGAAAAAACTAAACGAATATGTTTTGATGTGCAGGCGATTGGAGGTGTTTGTTTACGTTCTCTTATTTGTCATTGTTAACTGAATCTAAATTTTTTTTTTTCTTTTTTGAGAACAAGAACCGGAATGGAATCTTAAGAGCTGAGGAATATATTGCATAATGCTCATAAAATTTTTCCTGTACCAGGTTAATTGCGACATAGTAGCTATTCAAAATGATGACATAGCTAATGGGGTCATCGAGCTTATTTCTTTACATGGGATCAAAAAGCTTGTCGTCGGAGCTGCATCAGACAAAAAATATTCAAAGTAAGGCTCAAGCATCTGTAGTGTCTCAAATTTTTAGTTCCATCAGTTCTAGCATCTGCCATTTGTCCACAATAGAGGACTCTAGCCATTAAAGGATCCGGGTATGATGTTTATCCAAATTATGATAAGCTTCTTAAAATCTAGCAGTTGAGTAACCAAAACTGCAAGAGTAGCTTCCCATCTAGTAAAGAACGATTTGTCAACTATAGAAATGTGGATGGGCAGGCAGTTCCCTGATAGCTCATAGTTTAAAATCTAGCATTTAATGTACTCCAAAAGTTCTATGGATACAAAAGCTGAAAACTGATGTGCAGGTTCCCATTTTGTTTTAAAACCCATCTTATGAACTTTGAGTGCAAAGAATAAGAAAAGGTTCGCTAAGAGATTATAGTTCCTTTAATTGCCAACCTAACAAATGTTATCTAATCCTAGGACAATGAAAGCACCAACATCCAAAACAGCACTGAAGATAATGGAGAGAGCAGATTCACCATGCAAGATATGGTTTACTTGCAAAGGATCTCTAATTGTTATCAGGTAAGGTTGAGATGGGTTGGTAGTAAGCCACCTAAATTAAGTTACTCTTTATCTCTTGTGCTGTCTATCTGTGTCTAGACGTTTAGGATATATATAGTGATTCATCATTAATCTACATCAGCATATTACAGTGTGCTATAAACTCTCTTTTTAAGACAAGTATAGTACCTCGTTGTTATTGTTAACTGTCAATTTGACAGGGGCAGCAATGCAGACGCACCTGCAGCACCAGCATCACAAAACACAGCACCACTACCAGTATTCAACATTTCTAGCCAAATGAGATCAATGATGATCCACGATTCAAAGAACAAAGCGTCAAGCTCAAATGTAAGTATGGCGAATGATATGGGAGGATCAAGAACAGATGTACCTTGCTCTCTATCTGAAAAAACTGGTGATACACTGCTTCAATCATTTGAAGATGTTGAGTCCACTTTCAATGGCAAGCCAAGGAGACCATGGAGTTTAGAGGACTTCTCTGTTGACTCAGGCAGATCGCAGAACTCTGATCCCAGTTCTTCACCAAATGATGGGACATCCAGTATCTCTAGAACAGCAGTGGTTGATGATGATGACATAAGTGAAGTTGGATCAAATATGCATCTTTCAACTGACAACTCATACGACCATATTTCACCAACACCACATGACCTGGTATGTTCTGTGTGCTACTGTTGAGATATAAAGTGGGGGTTATCTCATAGTCCTAAATGGCATATAGGTTCTGATACATCAAATTTAATGGCCCAGGATAAACTTAAGGAAACTCTCACTGAAATACAGCTTTTGAAAAAAGAAGTGCAAGAAGAATGCAATAAACGGCGAAATGCTGAAAGAGAACTGCAATCAGCTCTTCAAAAGGTACAGGCTTTGCTCATTCACTATGCTAGTCCAGAATCCAGATTGAATGTTTGTTTATTAATGAAATAATATGTGTTCTTGCAGACCAAAGAATTGGAAAAATCTTATATGAATGAATTAAGGCAGCAGAAGGCACTCAAGGAAATGCATGAAAGACAGAGGCAAGAAATTGATGTAATGAGAAGACAGCAAGAAGAAGCATATGCTGCGCTATACAATGCAAATGAACAGAAGGTCACACTAGAACAACAAATAAGTGAGATCGAGCTATATGTTAAAGATAATGAAGATAAGCTAGCAAGAAACAAACACCAACTAGAAGCGCTCCAAGCAGATTGTGACAGGATACAACAGGAAAGAGATGTTGCCATAAGGGAAGCCGCTGAACTACATGAAAAGAATCGGCAGGGAGTTTTTGCACCATCTGAAGCACTAAACACCAAGTTCTCTCTTATTGAGCTGCAGCAAGCAACACAAGACTTCGATCCAATACTCAAGGTTGGTGAAGGTGGTTTTGGAAGTGTCTATAAAGGTTTCCTCCGCAATACAACAGTAGCTATAAAGTTGCTACATCCAGAAAGCATGCAGGGGCAATCAGAATTCCATCAAGAGGTAAGTAATCATTTTTGTATGAAAACTACATTTTCTGTTACAAGGAAGTGTGACTTGCATTGGTATGATAATCTTCTAACTGATTCCTTGCAGGCTTCTGTTCTCAGCACAGTAAGGCATCCAAACCTTGTCACGCTGATTGGTACATGCCCAGAAGCTTTTGGTCTAGTATATGAGTTCTTTCCAAATGGAAGCCTTGAAGATTGCTTAGCATGCAAGAACAACACGCCACCACTCACATGGCAGACCCGCACTCGAATAATTGGAGAGATGTGTTCTGCTCTCATTTTCCTTCATTCAAACAAACCTCACCCTGTGGTTCACGGTGACCTAAAGCCAGACAACATTCTTCTTGATGCCAATTATTCCAGCAAATTAGGAGATTTTGGAATTTCTCGACTGTTGATACAGACAAACACCTGCAGCACAACTCTTTACCGAACAACAAACCCAAGAGGAACCTTCTCTTATATGGATCCTGAATTTCTGACCACTGGTGAACTCACACCACTATCTGATGTGTACTCCCTTGGCATTATCATCATGCGTCTATTGACAGGGAAACAACCTCAAAGGATTGCCGAAATAGTGGAAGATGCCATTGAGAAAGAAAACCTGCATTCCATCATTGATACTACTGCTGGAAGTTGGCCTTTCATACAAGCTAACCAACTTGCGCATATTGCCTTGAGATGTGCTGAGTTAAGTAGGAGGCGAAGGCCAAATCTAACAGTGGATGTGTGGAAAGTGGTTGAGCCCCTAATGAAGGCAGCTTCAATGACAGCACGACCACTGTCATGCACAGCTCCATCAGATGACACTTGCATCCCATCATACTTCATATGTCCAATCTTGCAGGTAAACAATAGGCATAACATATCTTCAACCGATATCCAATCACCAAGTATCAAATGCATGATCTGTTGACCATATGGTCCATGAAAATACTTTAGTCATCCTATAGCATATACTAGTTTTAGTGTTAGCTAATTAAACTATAAAAAAAGAAGCAAAAGATTAACAATTAAATATACTGAATTGGAAACATTGCACGGTTGTGGTGTCAAAATTGTGATGCTTTCAATGCATGTCCTTTTAAATATAAAGAATTGTCACTGCCACATAGTAACACTTAAAACGAAATGGCTAAACTTACCAGCTGTAATGTGATGGTGGCCAGGAGACCATGAACGATCCTTACATTGCCGCAGATGGATTCACTTATGAGGGTGAAGCTATTAGAGGCTGGCTTGACAGTGGGCATAGCACATCACCTATGACGAACCTCAAGCTCGAGCACAGCCTTCTCGTGCCGAACAGGGCCCTTCGTTCAGCAATACTCGAGTGGAACCAGCGGGAGATGCAATGACAACAATCCATGCCTCGATGCAGATGTTATTTTGCTATCGTGTGATTGTAAGTTACTAAGTTGTGTGCACGGAGTTAGAGATAAGAGATCTAATGTAAAGCACAAAAAATTGCTGGTGGAAAAATATATGTTGTTTACAGTGTACCTGAAGGTCTATTCAGAATGGTTATCGTCCCACTTTCGTAAAAAACTGAAGTTCTCTAGGGTTTATAAAGGGTTTTATACTTTTATGTATATATACCCATATCGTCAATTGGGATATGATATCACAATAAGGACGATTTCCGCAGAAGACACTTGATTCGCAGTTCCCCACAAGGCCACAACTGCAAATTACGCATTTCAGCAGCCACTGAGAAAATGGACGCAATGTGTGGCTAGCAATTACTACAGTTTACCGCGCTAGGCGCTAATCAGATTCAGTGCATTTCAAGCAGGCGCCGGCCGCCTCGGCATACATTGGCTCCAGAACCCTAACCTCGACGTCACGATCAAGCGATTAACAAGAGAAAACTAGTTGAACAACGTGAGAGCACACGAGGTGACGAGGGATCGGAAGTCGGAACAGCTAGGTCGCGAGAAGACGGTGGCGAGCCAGCTCAAGAAGACGAGGAGACAGTACAGCGCACCTACCGGCGGCGGCGCGTAGCTCGTGGGCATGGCCCGAGTGGCTAGCGGCGCCGGGAGAGGACGAACCGGCGAAGGACCGCCGCTGCGCCGGTCGCGGGCAAGTGCAAGACACCAGGAGCCCAGGACAGCTTTGCTCGTGCAGAGCAGCTTACTAGAGGTCGGCCCATACTAGGCCTAGCCCATAAGGTAACAGCAAATCCAACTTATCCAATCGGGTTTTGTGGGCCGGGTCGTCTATATGGTACCTAAGGGACAGGACAAAAGGATATATTAAAAAAGTACTACCTCTGTTCTTGGATTTCAATATTTATGATACAAAATAAGCGTCATTAGATTAGTTATATAATATATTTTTATAATAAATTTATTTAGAGATATAAATATTAATAATATTTACTATAAATTTGATCAAAGTTGAGTACCATTGATATCATAATTGTAATTTTTTTTCGAAGGTAGTACTCAATGCCATAAAAAGAATTCCCATTTTTTTTTTTTGAGCTGCGACGCCACGTGCGCGGCACAGACAAAAGATACAGATGTCAGGTCGAAAAACCACTGCATGACTGCACGGGAATCAATCAAAGAAGTAAACAAAGGAACCGGTAAACCTCAGTCACACACTCGTGCCGTCGTGCGCGCGCTCCTGCGGATGGCCGTGCTCGTAAACACGCCAGCCGTACCCTCTTCACACGCGATGGTTGGTTTGCGTCGTGACTCGCGTGCCTCGTGAAGAAGCCAGCCAAGGCCTCGTTTAGTTGAGGCCAGAATCGCGTGCCTCGTGGTAAAGCCAGCCAACGTTGATTAAAGGCGGGCAAACGTCATTAGGATTTCGTCGGCAAATCATTTAAGATTATTGCATGGATGGGTACGTACTGTACGTGTGCTCCATCTCCATTGGGATTTTTCAATGCCCAAGAGAAGGCGGGCAAACGTCAAGGGAGGAATTATTGCATGGATGGGTACGTACTGTACGTGTGCTCCATCTCCATTGGGATTTTTCAATTCCAAAAAACGCGCGTGGTAGTACGTGTGTGGTCCGGGCCCTGTGCGGCTCACGTACTGTACGCGTACGGCGTACGCTCCTCCAGATTTCCCACGAAACCAGCCCCGGCCTGCCAGAACGTACGTACTGGTGCTCGATGGCAGCGCCCGCCGCCCTCGCCGTGCCGTGCCGCAGAGCTTTGAAAAAACGGGCGCCCACGCGGCGCGCTCTGCTGCTGGTGGTGGCGGAGGAATGGTCCGTCCGCGGACACGACCACACGAGCGACGCATCACGTATGGGCGGTGGTGCGTCCAGTCGCGTTGTTGTACCGTTTGTGCGCAGCACCTCCCCGCCGAAAGGTCGGTCCATGTCGTCGGTGGAGTGTCCACCGGTAATATCAGTCATCAGTGCCACGCTTCGCTTTCATCGCAGCTTGCTGTCCTTTTTACCACCACTAGTGTGCTGTTTCTGGTTTTGTCTACTGCCAGTGGCACACTTGACTGCTAGCGCGGTAGCTAGCGCCGGCTGAACACTGTCAAATTCTTCTGAACCTGGCGATTAACCCATCACCCATGCATGTCTCTCGTTTCTCGTCGTGCACGACAGGTCGAAAGAGAGGGATGAGAGGACGACGAGACCGAGAGGGGCCGGCGCCGAGGCAGCGCTGAGTTGTCGTCCGCACATGCTCCATGATTCGCAGTATCCGGATAAGGACGACGTGCCGTATCATATCATCGTATCATATCATATCATATCATATCATATCACGGCACAGGCTGTGCAGACGAGGCTAGCTCCTTGTGCATCAAACCGCGATGGGTGATTCCGCATAAATTCAGGGCCAGTTTAGTTTACTTCACGCCTCGTTTAGTTCGACCTCAAAGTCTAAAAAGTTGCTACAGTAGCTGTCACATCGAATATTTACGGTCCGTGTATGGAGCATTAAATATAGACGAAAATAAAAACTAATTGCACAGTTTAGTGAAAAATTACGAGACGAACGTTTTGAGCATAATTAGTCCATGTTTGAACACTATTTGCCAAATAAAAACAAACGTGCTACAGTAGCCCCAAAATCCAAATTCACCCAACTAAACAAGGGCTCATTTTGCAAAAAATTTTTAAGATTTTTCGTCACATCGAATCTTTGGACGCATACATGAAGCATTAAATATAAATAAAAAATAAAACTAATTACACAGTTTAGACGAAATCCACAAGATAAATCTTTTAAGCCTAATTAGACTATGATTGGACACTAATTATCAAATAACAACGAAAATACTACAGTAGCATTTTATCAAAAAATTTTGCAAACCAAACAGGCCCTCAGAGAGTAGCTGCGTTGCGTGGTCCAACAAGGAGCGGAGTGACGCTGACGCCGGCCCATCACCAACCTCGCGACTGCTTCATTATGCACGGCGACATTCCTTCTCACGAGCTGCTAGCATCATTGAATACTCGACTAGATTATTCAGTTCAGCAATAGCCTATCGAAAGAAAAAAAAAACAGAGAGAAAAGATTGATTAACAAGCTCCGAAGTCTTCGCCCTGGCAGTGGTTGCAGCGACGCTCGCCCATATATCAATCGTTTCGGATAGCTTCTCGCAATCCTCCGCTAAGCTCCCTAACCGACCAATCATTCGGCGATTAGGTCACACATGCTCATTTAGAGAAACACATCAATTGTCGTCGCGAACTCGCCAGCATCGGCCGCCGGAAAGCAACGTTTGTCTGGCGCAAACTAGAACGGAGGACGCCGGAGGCCCCAAGAACCAGAAGCGGAGGCCGCCCGTTTACGTAGGCCGCCGGCCGCGCGCGCCGACCCGGCCTGTTGGCCTCTCGGCTCGGTCGGTAGAATGATGAGCTGGAGAGAGCGACGTGGCTGAATTGTGCTGCAACTTGTGGCTCGGATGAGATGGCCGGCGCGCGGGGTGACGCGCGGGATACGGACGGTTCGGACGACCGTTGGCTGGCGAGACGGCGTTGAAAAAACCGAAGATCCGCACGGTCCTGTACTGCTGTACCGTAAACAGTACCAAGGCCAAGGACGTTTGCAGTACCAGATACGTTCGTCCTCTGGTAGCGCTATAGGTAAAGGGTTTAATACGTCGTCTCAAACAACGAGACCCAAAAGACAACATTTTTATAAATGGGTCTTCAGGTGAGAGGATACTCAAATTTGGGTTATGCCTCTCCTGACAGCTAAAATGGGTCTTCTATATAGGTACTCTGTTGGAGACTATAGATATTATATTGGAGATCCATTTTAGATTTGGGTTTCGCAATGGTCTCCTATTGAAGACAGCCTTACACACTCCCGGTGGATACGGGTACCGCTCCCACCGTCTCCAAAATAAAATAAAATCCCATTTTAGTGAATCAACTATAAATTTAATTAGGTTTATAAAAAATAATATCAATCCTTATATCTTTAAATAGTTTTATTATAAAAATTACGTTTCAAGCTTGACCTAATTATAACTTGTGATGGAGGTCCGATAAATTTCTACTCTGGCTTCTCCATATATTGTACTTATATACTATAGCAAGAAATTACTTTTAACTGTCTTCTAAAATGAACTAGAAACTAGAAAAGCCACTATTTCTATTCTTACCGGCTCCAGCTTTTGCACACACTATAGTTAAGCCAGATGAAACAGTACCAAACATGCCCTTGTTATATACGTATCATAAAAATAAATATCTTTTTATATACTAGTGGAATTTTAAATTGATTGATTCTTCGAAAAACAATATCATTACTTTTAGGATGGGTGGTGGACAAGTAGTAACAACGCGACCCGCCGAGATACACAAACGTTTTGTGCGTCTTTTACAGGCACTCCTTTTCATAAAAAAAAAGTACTCCATTCGTTCCAAATTATAAATCACTTTGACTTTTTAGATTCATCAATTTGCTATATATCTAGATATAATATTATGGCCCTGTTTATTTCTTTTGGCAAAACTTTTGCCCAGCACTTTTTTAACACCCTCGGTGTTACCTTGTTAATCATCTACTAAAACATATCATGAGCATCATACTTGTGTGTTAATGCATATGGTGAAGTGATTAGATAATGCATTGCAACTAAAACGATCAACATAAATGTGAAACGCGTATAGTTAACAAGTAGGGGTGTAATCTATTTTTTATTGAACAAAAATACTATAGAACATGTGTATGATACTTAAATAAAGTTAAAAGTGCAAACTTGTAGATGACAATGAAATAATTGTTGTTGAAAAAGAATATTGCTAAGTCATATTTTTAGTATCTTAGAAATGCAATATGAAATTAAAATTAGCTCAAACGCTTAGAAATTTTCTAAATCTGTGGACAGCTAGATGCTACTATATTTAGCAATTTATTTGTAGAGTT